GTACCCGCAGCAGTTCAGGTGGCTATCAATGAATGACGTCGATGCACACATGTTAATCTCAAACAGGGTGAGGGGCTGCATGTGGTTATCTAGGGATAGTACATGCTCACACGTATGGTTATCTTAGCAAGTCACTCTAAGTCAGTAATCAAAGTTCAAATCCTCATCTATGGGATACACACGCTTCTCGGCAGTGGGGAATGTGACCATGATATCACACTTTAGGTTTCAGGAAAGTTAACTCAAACATTTTAAAACCTTCCTAACATTTTTGGACATTTTTTAAAGCTTTTTTAAACATTTCTATATTTTACTACAACAGGACCAAATAAGAAAATAGTACAATAGATAATACTGTACAATAGATAATAATAGTACAATAGATAGTATAATAGTACAATAGATAATATTGTCTAAAAAACCAAAGGCCAAGAGGAAAGTAACAATAATATAGCAGCGATAGCCAAAATAATTTTTTGCAATAATGGAGAGTTCCACTCTTCATCATTCTAATCATGGCCTATCTATATGTGACTTTTGAACACCTGAAATATGCTCAGTAGATTTTGTACAAGTAAAAAACTGAATTTTAAACTTTTATTTACATTTAATTAACATAATTCAAACATTTATAACTACTGTATTCAATATATCAAAATGACTAATATAAAAATATTGAAAACACCAAATACTAATCAGATTGGCCAAGGTGTTGCCAGGCATGATCATAACCCAACCTCTCTCTCTGATTCCACTGCTTCCATTTACAGGTATCATCTCTAATAAACACCTTGTATGCCAAACACCATCTCACTCTCTGCTCTGGAGAACCCAACTGGCAACAACTTCCAACTTGCCCAAAGAGGCAGACAGTGAAGCAGACTATATGTGAGCAATGCCGAGGGGAGGGAGCGGTGGGTGCGGAGAAGTGGGGGTGGGATATATGATAAATAAGAGACAGAAGCAATGTTATAACTATAATGAGTCCTCATTGTGCTATGTGTACTTAACATCAGCTAATAACATAAGAAAGCTATTTGCTTTCCTTAATGCTTTGCTTTCAAAGTAGCTTCATTAAGGATTGAGCAAAACTCTCTTCTAACTCAACCCCCTGAAAAGTTCTCCTTTTAAATTGATAATTCTTATATAAGAAAGTAAAAGATCAATTTTGGAGATAATCAGAACATAATTTAGATTCTGAATGAGGACCTAGGAAAACTGAGCTTGCTATGTTATATAATTCATAAGAATTTCATCATAAAATTTATATATTAACATCTATTTGTAACAATATCCTTTCAACAACCTAACTTTGTTTCAAAACACTTTTCAGATAGGGTGGGTCTAAGATATAATAAATTTATTAATACAAAGGCCTGATGCACAAAATTTGTGCACTCGGGGACGAGGGGGGTCCCTCAGCCCATTCTGTGCCCTCTCCCAGTCTGGGAGCCCTTGGGGGATGTCCAACTGACAGCTTAGGCCTGTGCCTCATGGGCATCCTTAGCACTGCCGTGGAGGCGGGAGAGGCTCCCCTCACCACTGCTGCAATTGCTGGCCATGAGCCCAGCTTCTAGCGCACTGACCGCCAGGAGGCAGCTCCTGTGTTGCCAACAGACCCTTGGTGGTCAGTGCCTGTTATAACGACCCGTCATTCTGTGGTTCAGCCAATTTGCATATTAACTTTTTATGACATAGGATTGTGAATACTTCTGGTTGCTATCACCTTATGTTGGCTGAAATCATTCACCCCTACTTTATTGTGATATTTCCCTGTATTATGGTTGGTAAAACTGCCTTCGCTCCAATGCTGCTGATATCTGGGAGACATTTTAGCTGGATCCCCACGTGTGCACGGCGATACTGTTAGAATTTCCCAAGCCCCTTTCCTGAGGGTGAATACTGTTAGAATTTCCCAAGCCCCTCCAGTCACCATGCAGTCCTTTGAGTAGCTGATTTCTGTGCCAAGTCTATTGGGCTTGGCCCCTTATGAGCGGTTCTGAATTCCAAAGGCTGCTTGTTTGAAAATTCATGAGCTTCTCAATGATGCGGTTCCTTTTCTGGCTGCCCCACTGCTTAGTTAGTTCAGACAACAAGCTGTTTAGGGATGGATAATTTTTCATTTTAGCTGCCAAAACCTATAGGGAGGTGGGTATTTTACTGCTATTGTGGAATTTTCAGAAGTTTGGAAAAAAGAGGATTTATTTATTTATTTTTGTTTTGTTTTGATACAGGACATTTTGACAATGACTCTGGCAATGATACAAAAATCTCCATGCTTGTAAACCAGAATACCATTTGCAGCCATCTGGCCTGCTTGCAGCAGCCTCTGAGTGGGACAGATATAAAAACAGTTAACAATTAAGAGGTTTAAAATGGCTTTCCCGTTAATTTCTGAGCTGAACTACCCCATGATAAAGGTATAATGGGCAATGAAGGGGTTGCTGAATCTTTGTCAGCACACTTCTCTTCGTGATAAAAATTATCTGTCAACTGCATTATTTCTTAATTTCTCAACCCCTCTCCACTATCACCATCACCATTCACCCATATTTCTGGATTCAAAATTTCTTTTGTCCTAAATATCACATTTCCAATCATGACAAACTAAAAAATCCATGAAAAATTCCTCAGTATGCCCAGTTGTGTTTATCATTCTTTTTTTTTAATATGACCAAGGCTGGATTCCAAAGAACAGAAGCAATCCCTTTAAACAGCATAATGGGAATCACCGGCTTTTAATTTTAAGTTTCATCTTTAAAATGATAAACACTAAATATTTTGTTAGGATAGTTTTGAACAATAAAACACAGAAGAAAGTTTTAATTCTTGAAACTTAAAGACATCGTTCCTTTAGATCAGGAAATATGACTTGTGACCTCTTTAAAATTATTTAAAGGTTTTCATAATAGTTGGCATTATATGTCAAGATATATAGATAGCACTACAAAAATTTCAGTCTTGTTACTTTCCAGGATAATAATAAGAGACCAAAGTTATCCAATGATCTAGAAACAAATCCTAAGGAATTGTACTGAAATTAAAGAGGAGATTAAGATAGAGCATAGCAAGAGGTTTCTCCCATGCAGCCTGGTCCTCAGATTTCTGTCTGGCCTGTCCAGAACATGATCTGCTAGTAGTAACCTGTAAAACAGGCTTTGTGCTGTCACTTAGTTCGCATTTTTACATACAGTCACATGTTTTTTATCCGAAGCTTGCAAAGATGTCTCACTAAGTTGTCAAGTTCAGAAAACCCAGAACTGGAAAGAGATCAGACAAGAATTTTCCCAGACAAATTAGCAGGTTGGAGGAAGCCGCTGTAAATGGCAGCAGGAATTGCCCCTGTGCTTGAGCACACTTTGCAGTGAAGACATTAAGAAGTTTTGGTTTCATGCACCTGGCTAGTGATTTACAAAGTTGCCTCCTGATTTAATAGAGTGCTAGAAAGGCCTGTTGTTATACCAACTAAAAGAATCATAAAATGGTAATGAATGTTATGAAACTTCATGAATATTTCATCTGAAGGAAGGCTGTTAGATTTATCTTGAGGTTAGAGAGCACATAGGCTGTAAATCAGGCCTAGGAGGGAGTTGCTTGAGGTTCATGCTTAGTGAGAATGTTTACATGTTAGGCAACGCTACCTGCGGGTGTTTATTGCTTTAGTCACGTTAGAACCTAGTGACTTTATATAAAGAAAAAAATTCAGTTTTAAAATATATAATATTAAAAAGAATCACCAAAGGTTTCTAGGAAGCATTTGGTATTATTTTTCTAAACAATATCAGCTTTATTATATTTTTTTTCATTAATTTATTAAGTATTCAAAACTATAATCAATATTCAATAAAAAGGTATCACAAAGCAGTTGATACCTTTTTATTGAATCAAAGTGTGATAAAATAAAACAATAAGTATAAAGCCTGTTCCTTAACTATAGACGACACATATAACCATTTACATTAAATCTTTACTATATTGTCAGGATCAAGGCAACTTCTCATTTGGAATATTTATAGTTAGTTTTAAACTCAGTAGTTATTTTGTTAGGTATATTTTATTTCTTCCAATAGAACAACAAAAAAATATGCTTCCCCAGGCTATTCTAACAGCACAGAAATGAAATTTACTTGGGATTTCCCTTCTAGCTTTGCAGCTAGGTGACCACAAACCCCTTAACTCCTTTAAATTAAGGTTTTTCCCCTTTTCCTATGTTTTTCAAAGTATGAGAAATGCTATTTAAATATGGATATAATCTTTCTCAAAAGATTTTATTTTTACCTGGCAGTAGAAATGAAAACAGAAGAGCTCATTCATTCATTTGATCGGTCACTCAGAATATTTGTGAATGCTTAGTATGTGACTTGTACCGCTAGGTGATGGCGATGAAATGGAGGATGGGTAAAACGTGGCCCCTACCTGCAGAATGTTTGGCTTCAAGAGGGGTACATGTAATTAAATGAGAAATTATAAAAAGTGTGATAGCTGACATAACAGAAGCTGTGATGAGGGTCCATGGAAGGGATACATGCCCTAGATTTAGGGGTCAAAGATAGCACCTTAGAGAAAAGAAAGCTTAGAATCAGACCCACCTGAACTATGAGTAAAGTCGTAATGAAGTAGGGTGTAGACTAGGAAGAAAAAAAATATGACCTAGCAGAGGAGCTGAGGAAGTTTGTAATGGCTAAAGCAAATTGAATGTGCCCTTTTGTGAAAGAGAATGGGAAGACAGGGAGGGAAAGAAAGGAGGGCTCAGAGCACACCTACAAACCCTGCCAGGAGCTTGAACTCCTCAGGACAAAGGCCCTCGCTGAGGGGGGTCAGCAGGGTAGTGATATCACTAAACTTTCTTTTCATCTTGTTTAAAGTTACATGCCTTGTTTGGTAGAGAAAATGCTTTATACCTCTACTCTTCCTACTAGAATAAACACCGAGAATTTGATCAATGTCTAAGGCAGTGACTGATGGTTTTAAAAGCTGTTTGTTTGTTTTTTTCTTTTCCTTATTGTCTCCCCATTCATAACAGAGACCAGGCCAAGGGCCTGAGCTGAGGTGTATACGGAGTGGGTTTACACTTCCTCTGATTTCTTTATAGTCCATGTAAGAACACAGCCTGTGGTAAGCACCGGGAGGCCTAAGAGTAGTTTTATAAAGAGAGTTGCACTGGGAAATCCAGTTTTATAAAGAAAATGTTGAACATACTAATGCTCTTAAATGGCAGAAAAGAGAATGTTCAAGACACATGTCTCTAAGAATAAAGTCAGATAAATAAATGAAAAAGGATTCCCTCATAAGAATGGAGTAGTTGCAAAGTTAGATCATGAGATTTTTTTTTTTAATGAAGGTCTTAAAAACATAAATTATCTTTCATTTTTAAAAGGAAAAAAAGTGGCCTACATTTTTTAAAAATTCATTCCCTCAAGGAGATGTATTTCTGAATTTCCGCACCCTCATCCTGCTCAATACCAAGAATATGGAACATTAAATTAATAACTAGTATTGATTAAGGAAATATGTCAGTCCCTAGTGCTCTACATACATTATTTTATTTAATCCTCATTTTTAAATTTATGTAGTAAATACTATGATTTTCCCTGTTGTAAAGAAGAGGCACAAAGAGTGAAGCAATGTGACTACATCATCCTGTCAGTGAGCTGCCGAGCTGGGACAGGAGCCCTGCAGGCAGGCTCTTAACCACTGCTCTCTGTCAGGACATACTGCACAGTGACAGCGCTTACACAGTTTTTATTGTAATAATCAGTAAGAATGTCAATACAATTTACCACAAAAAAGAAATCTGTTCCTGTTTACCCTTTCATATTGTCTTGCGATTGTTTATGAGGGAGTTCATATCTAGAGAAAGAGGAAAATCCAATTGGACTTTCTGGGAGGCAGAACATTTGCAGATTTGCCACCTGCAGCAGTGCATTTGCACACCGACAACAGTCGTGGGCTGCTGTGGGAACCATGCCAGAGACCCCTGATAGCCAAGGCCAATTAGAGCATAGAGGCCTTGTTGTCAATACACTGAATGTCCAAGGCCACTCTGCACCTAGGCTAAGATACCATAAGCAGGTGCAAGGACACAAGCACAACAATCCCACAGTATGCTGTGCATGCGTGTCCTTCTGTAGACAAAATATGATTGGTGTAACTACGGGCATGAAACCTCCTTTGTCTCTGGAATAATATACAAGTTAGTGACCAGCTAGTGTGCTGGAGTGTGAAGAAGTGTGCTGGAGAGACAGGAGCTGAGAGCTGGTACAGCTGCAACGTATGGCTAAGATAGAGAGCTCAGATAGAGCTACTGTGTTAACCAGCCAGTGTGCTGAGAGAGAAGCTCAGAGGTATTTACTATGTGAGGCTACAGAGACCAGGCAGTGTTCTGGGTAGAAGAGACAGGAGAAGCTGCTGAGGCAGAGAGCTCAGATACTGCTACGATGCAAGGCGGTGAGTTTAGAGGCAGCATGCGGCCGCTCAGGTAATAGCTACTCCTGTGTAGAAAAGATGTGTGTTTGCCAGCTGGTGTGAGGTTGGCTACATGGACTTTGTTGTGAAAGACTGTGTTGTCTGATGGCTCCATGGCCACTGGCTTCTGACTCGTTCTTACTGTATATGCCCACAACTTCTCGTGGCTTCTACGTCTAAGATCCAGCGTCCTAGGAGGTCCAGCCCCAGGCAGAGGGACTCTGACCTAACACCTGTAACTGGTGAGCAGAAGATAAAGGAGAAACTTAGACTAAGTTCCCAACAGTTAGTGTAGTGAGTAGGGCTGAGAAGGAACCTACTCTGCCATAGCCAGGAAGAATTCAGAAGAATACATGGACTCAGAACAACTCAGAGCAACAGTTCTATGCAGTGCCCTTGCTGCAACAGACAGCTGCTTAGACAGGGATATGTTGTGAGAGTTGATCATGAGATTTAATTATTGTGTGAACATCACAGAGTGCACTTACACCACCTTCTATGGTGTAGCCTATACACCTGGGCTGCATGGTCTATAGCCTATTGCTCCCAGGCCACAAGCCTGTTCAACATGTGATTGTACTTATTACTATCAGCAGTTGTAACACACTGGTATTTGTAAATATAAACACATCTCAACATAAAAAGATAAAGAGCCGAAGCCAGCTTGGCTCAATGGACAGCACGTCGGCTTGGGGACTGAAGGGTCCCTGGTTCGATTCCAGTCAAGGGCATGTACCTTGGTTGCGAGCATATCCCCAGTAGGGGGTGTGCAAGAGGCAGCTAATCGTTGACTCTCTCTCATCGATGTTTCTAACTCTCTATCTCTCTCCCTTCCTCTCTGTACAAAATCAATAAAATATATTTAAAAAAATAAAATAAAAAGATAGAGATATATAAATAAAACTTATAAATCTGTATAGGGCACTTACCATGAGTGGAGCTTGCAGGACTGGAAGTTGCTGTGGGTGAGTCAGTGAGTCACTGGTGAGTGCATGTGAAGGCGAGGACATTACTGTACATGACTACAGACTCTCTAAACATGATACACTCAGACTACCCTAAATTTATAAAACAAGATTAAATCACGCACAAGAGAAAATGAAGTCAATTTATATGCTGAAACAACATAAAATACTGTTTTACAGCAAACTTTTTTTTTAAATAGAAAGAGTATACTATAAAGTAACAATAAAAAGTACAGTGTAGTAAACACATAAAGTAACACAGTATTTGTTCTCACTATCAAGTATTATGCAGTGTTCATAACTATATGGGTTATACTTCTATATGACTAGCAGCAGAGCAGCGTTAATTTCCCCAACGTCACCACAAACACAAGAGGAATGTGTTGTACTCTGATGTTACCATGGCTACAACATCACTAGGAGGTAAGAATTTTTTAGAATTATAATCTTATGAGACTGCCATTGAATATGTGATCTGACATTGACCAGGACATCATTCTGGGGCACACGAACTATGTCAATGAATGCACTTTGTGTTCTTACTTTGGTACTAGTATACAGTAAATGCATTAAGCACATGACATCATTTGTAAGGCAATAAATAATTCTAAAATCTTTCCTTCAAATAATATGCCATACTGAACTGTCATTCTCATTACCCAAAACTGAGTTATAAGGTTATTACCTAGTAGATGTCATATCCCTCATTTGAAATGGGAGTCACGGTTTGGTTTCTAGAGGAAAACAGCTTACAGTTTATAGAGCATAAAACCAAAGTGTCCCTGACACAAAGAGTCATTTGTTCAATTTCTGACCTGCTCCAGCCTAAAGAAAAGAACATAAGATGACAAAATGTTTCACGCAGCAACAGATTAATAGTCAGAATCTGTTTTCTATGTTTTCATTCATTTTGAATGAATACGAAGTCTGATCTTAATGCTAATATAAATGCAGCAAACTGAACCATTAAATTGACCATGTGATCTATCACACTTCACACTGCTTTATAAGCAAAATGTATCATTCTCAGGGGGTTTCTCCTAGTTAAATAATTGTAAGAAACATATCTCTTGCCACTAGTTTTATTGATAAAATACAACATGTCATTTAATTCATCCTTCCACTGTTCTATCACCTTCTACCAAGTGATTGGGATTCTGATCACCCTGTGTTCTGCTCTCAGATTGAAAGCCTCTACTTACTCATCTGTTATTCTTCATGAAACAAAGCTCTAGTGTGACATCTGTTTTCTTACTGAATCTTCACCAGAGATTCAGATGCCAGCAAGCAGAAACCTTGGGTTTCCCTCAGAAATCCTTGAGAGTCCCTGCTATGGCAGGGATTGAATCTAAGAGAATTCATGGACAGAGTGTCATTATTAGATTTTCATTTCTGAATTTGACTTGTGGGACAAGAGATTGATGGAATAATGATGTTTTGCTGATCTTGGAAGCTAGACATCTCTTGATGAAAAGCTTTAACTTCATACCTTTTCCTCCACTGATGTTCAGCTAAGTTCACATCATATTTTAATCTTAGGACACAGAGAACATTTGTTTTGTCTTAATCAGGTACTTGAATGAAATTCCCTACTTCAAATACCAAATGGTAATTTATAATTTCTGTCAGAAAGTAGAATTTTGAATTTTTTTTGCATTTATTAATGAAATTTGCTAAAAATTTATTTATTCACTTAATTCAAATTACTGAGAAAAGATTACAAATAAATTTAAATCAGAAGCAGATTTTGGTCATAACACAAGTTTGATAAATATGTGTCTGGAAAATTTGTAGATATTGATAATTTTTAAAATTAGTCATAACATATGCTAAATAGCCAAACTATGATTTACACTAATGTGTATGTGTGTGAATTAAGACATAAACACATTCACACAAATGCTTAGACATATATTCCATATTAATAGAATTGTTTTCAGTTTTCTTTTTGTAGCTGTATTTAGGTAAAATCCTATATAATAAAAGCCTAATAAGCTAAGTGTCTGTTTGTCTAATCATCCATTCAACCAATCAAAGTGTAATATGCTAATGATATGCTAAGGCCACTCAACTTCTCGCTATGGTGTGAACTAACCACCAGAGGACAGATGCTCCAACTGTTGGGTTAGCATGCTGCTGGGGTCTGGCCAATTGGGACTGGGCGAAACAGGCCAAACATGCCCTGGAGCCCTCCAGTGGTAGACCAACCTCCTGTGTCCCTCCCTATCCCAAATCATGCACCATATGCTAAATAGCCAAACTGTATTGGGATCCCTTAGCCTGGCCTGTGCCCTTTTGCAATACAGGACCCCTTGGGGGATATCCAATTTCAGCCCAATTCCACAGGCCAGGCTGAAGGACCCAACTAGTGCATGAATTCGTGCACCAGGCCGCTAGTAGACAAATAAAATTGTAAGATATCTAAAGTGTACATTGATATGATGTGATAGACATATATATTGTAAAAGGAGAGCTCCCATCTAGTTAATGAACCCATCTATCACCTTATTTATTTACTAGAGGCCTGGCACATGGATCCATGCACCAATGGGGTCCCTCAGTCTGGCCTGGGTCCTCTCACAATACAGGACCCCTTGAGGGCTGTTGGACTGCTAGTTTCAGCCCAATCGCCAAAAGCTAGGCTGAGGAACCTGCGGGGATCAGGCTGAAACCAGCAGTCTAGCATCCCCTGAGGGATGTAG